TGGACATGGTCATCGATTCACCCCAGTGGCCTCTCCCTGCTGTTCTCCAGGCTTGCCCTGCATCCCGCTGCCCTCTCTCCTGGGAGCGAATCTGTAGGGAAACACTTGGAACACAGAGCGGAGTCCGGGGGGGGGGGCGTGCAGTCACTGGTGAGTGCCCCCTCACCTGTGCTGAGAGTGCTGGGACACAGGGACTGGCAAAAGACTGGCCCTTCGCCCTGGCCCCCGTTGCCTCCCATGGGCCAGGATCACTGGAGGTGATACCCCGATGCACAACTGCAGGGCTGCCAATGCACCAGGATGGCATCCAAGAGTACCTGTGGCCAATCACCAGCAGCAAGGATGGGACACAGCCTCAGCCCATGGGAGGCGGCAGGAGGCCTGGCTTGTGGATGCTGCTAGGTCTCAGATGAGTGCCAGTGTGGAGCCCTGAAGGCCTAGACCATGGCTGTTCTCTGCCTCAGAGGTGCTCGTCCTCAGGCTGGGCAGACCATGCCACGGCCACAAGCTCTCCTCCAAGTGAGGGAGCCCCACGTACCGCTTTGCAACCCCTCCTCAGCCGTGCACTGCTCACGGCCTCACAGGGGGCTGGTGGGGACCATGCTGCTCCTGTGGGCTGTGATGGGTGGATAGAGCTGAGGACTCCCTGCATCATTCAGGACAGGCAGTCCAGGGAGCATCTTCCTTCTCCCAGTGGCTGCATGCAGAGAGTGAATGGGACTGTGACGAAGTGGGGTGTTTTCTTGTTTTCTGTGGAGTTTCAATGATTTGCATGCGGAGGGGGTGGGACTCAGTTTCCCTGGGTGTTACTGGTTTAACAAGGTGAGGGGAGAGGGAGTTTGTTGTTGCAGAGGACCGGAGAGAGGACTTGGGGACCCCACCGATGGCCTGGAGGATGGATACCCCAGCGACCGGTGACCTGGCGACCTGGAGGCCCAGCTGAGGAGACGCAGCCGGTTCTGGCCAGTGGGCGGACAATGGGCTGCAGAGTGAGGACCCAGTGACCTAACCAGCCGGTTCCAGCCAGAGGACAGAAGCGAGGAGAGGAGGCCCCAGTTTACGACCCTGTTTACCTGGAGAGAAGACAATGGACAGAGGGGAGCCTGGGGCCGGGGATCTCAGATGCCCAGCTGGGAAGCAGGGGGGCTCTGGGCTGGAGAGGGGGAGCAGGCAGAGCCCACCTGGATGCAGAGAGACTGGGATGTGCTGGGCTGAGGGAGGCCAGGCCTGAGGCCCTGAGAGTTTCCTGTGCTGTGTTCAACTCTCAATAAATCCTCCTGTTTTACGCTGGCTGAGAGTCACTCTGGTCTAGAGAACAGGGTTGCATCAACCCCTTCGGGGGTGGAGGCCCAGGGGTCCAGAGCGAGTGGACTCCCTGAGGGGGCCCACAGCAGAGACAGACGTGCTAGGGCTCCGAGAGGTGCGGCTCCAGGAGGTGGAGGGGCCTGACCCCGAGAGAGAGTGGACCCCCGAGAAGGGCTGTCGCACTGAAAGGGGCACACCCCACGGACCGCACGGGGCCAAGGGTGGGCACGATCTGTGAGTCCGTGACAGGGACCAGTGGACAACTGGACCTGGGGGGGGCTCTGCAGGAGATTTGCAGCAATTTCCCATCACCACCCACTGAAGGCAGCCTGCTAAGGACAAATCAGTCCACATGGATGCATTTCCTTGGCCCCTGGCTATCAGCATGGCCTTTTGTGATGAACCACAAGGCTGCATAGCAAGGGCAGGACAATTCCGGGAGCTGATCTAGCAAAGGGAATTGCCAAAACATGGATTGCAGGCTGTTCTCCATCACAAACTCACCAGGAACCTGCACCTGCTCTGACAGCAGGAAGCCACTCGTCCTGGACTCCTGTCAGAGGCTTCTTGCTGGGTCACTCTCTCACCCCTTTGCCATGTCCTCACGGTCTCAGTGGGGGCTGGCTCTGGCATGAACAATTCCTGCCTCTGAATATTAAAGAAACTGGATCCTTGGGGGGGGGGGGGGGGGGAATTCTTGCAAGCATCTCCAACCTCCTTGGTCACTAAGAACACGTCCCACTGGCTCTGTGCACACTATGGGCCTTCCCTCTGGAACATCCTGCAGGTGCTCCCGGTAGCAGCAACAGCACATCACGCAGCATGTGCTCCTTTCCACCCAGATCCTCTCAGATCAAGGATGCAAAGTTTCAGTCCATCTGTCAGGTGCTGGGGCAATCCCCTGGGGCAGCCTCAGACACAGAGCTACCAAATGGGGAGTGGAGGGGACAGAGTTTTGCCTTTTCCCTATTGAGCCAGACTGGCCCAAACCTGCAGGGGGTTGGTTTGGTTGCAGTGACCCAACTGCATGCCCAGGTGTCTGGGGTCAGAACTGGCTCCAGCTGAGCTCAGGTCTGGCTATGGCCCTTGGAGGCCTCAGGTGCTGCATGTCCTCTGGCAGCACTGGGCCCCATTGTCATGTGACATATCCTGGTCCAGCACAACCCGGTCAGCTACAGCTGCTATGACTAGGGCCCTACCAAATTCACAGCTGTGAAATCTGGTCTCCCCCGTGAAATCTGATCTTTTGTGCACTTTCACCCTATACTATACAGATTTCACAGGGGGAGACCAGCACTTCTCAAAATGGGGGTCCTGACTCAAAAGAGGGTTGTGGGGGGGTTGCAAGGTTATTGTAGGGGAGTCACAGTATTGCCACCCTTACTTCTATGCTGTCTTCAGAGCTGGGTGGCTGGAGAGCGGCAGCTCCTGGCCAGGCACCCAGCTCTGAAGTCAGCACCTCGCCAGCAGCAGCGCAGAAGTAAGAGTGGCAACACCATACCAGGCCACCCTCACTTCTTCGCTGCTGCCTTCAGAGTTGGGTCAGGACCCCTACAGATACAACACTGTTAAATTTCAGATTTAAATATCTGAAATCATGATATTTATGATTTTTAAAATCCCATGACTGTGAAATTGACCAAAATGGACCGTGAATTTGGTAGGGCCTTAGCTATGACTATCTGATTCCTGCCTCTCAAGCTGGCATGGCTCTGTGGTCTCCTGGCTTCCCCTTCCTCTCTGATAGATCCTCAGGGGACTCTCCTCCTCCCATTGTGGGCCTCAGCTGCTTTGACTTTCTTCTCTGCTGGTGACTCACAGATTTGCCTCCCTCCAACTGCACTCCCCTCCCAGCCCTCCTGGATCCCTCCAACAGGGTGCTGCCACCAGCTGAGACTCTCCATGGCCCAAACCCACCTCCTAAACCACCCCCACACTTTCCTTTGTCTCGGGGGTGTCGCTCAAGCCCATCATCTTCTAGTCCCTGTCTCTGAGCCGGCCACTCCCTGACCCATCCATCTGGCCCCATCCAAATCCTGCTGCTTCTTCCTTTGCAGCCTCTCCTAGCCCTGGCCTGTGCTTCCTGCCTGCACGGCCAGTGCTCCCATCGAGCCCCAATCATCACAACTCTGGCCACAAGGCTGGCACCCCAACCCCATCCCATTCACAGAGTCTATGACCAGAAGGGACCAGTGTGATCACCTAGTCTGACTTCCTGTAGAACACAGGCCGGAAACCCACAATAATTCCTAGAGCAGATCTATTACAAAAACATCCAATCTGGATTCACAGCAAGCTCCTCGCCCCATAGCATTGCCAACCCCAGGGCTCAAAGCTTAGTGAGTCTGGCCCCAAAACCACGAGATCAGCTCCAAACTGATGGTAGCAGCTCAGCCAGCCATTGCAGGGGTGGAACATTTGCCTTCTGGAGTTGGGTCCATTTGGGGTCATGGTTCCAGCCTTTCTCCCCCACCACCAGGGCCAGAAACTCCCTGTTTTTTTAATGAAAGTTGCCAATTTTCCCAAATCCCAGGACTCCAGGAGCTGAGGCTTTGAGTCACTCCACGTAATGCAAGTGTAACCCACACACACCTTCTGGGTGTGGTGTTCTGTCCCATCTAGTGGCACCAAGAGAGAGAGAGTTTGCTCTACAGCCTTAGCTAACAGGCAGTTGACTTTTAGCTCATGCGGTAGAGGCTCCAGAGGTCCCAGGTTTGATCCCAGGAGTTACACAAGACTTCTGTCACACTGGGAGATTTGGCCAGGCTATTCCCTGGTTCTGACTATGCCTCCGCTCAGCCCTCACCTTTGCTCAGTGCCTCTGTCACTGGTGGGCCATGTCCCCCCCAAACACCCTTGGTACTCACACCCAGACTCTCCCCCCCTTTACCCACTCACTCCCTAGGCCACAGCGCCCAGAGACCTGCCAACCCATAGCAGCCCAGACACACAAACTGGGATCCTGACTCCTGATGGGCCAAGGTTGGTGCTCGAGTCTGTGCTAAAACAAACGGCATTGTGAGCACCACAACCAAACCCCAGCGCAGGGGGGAGGAAGCTGGGAGCAGGGGGACTGCCCCGTGCTGGGGACGGGTCTGAGCCCTCCCCGCTGGGGTGGAAGGGTTTGGGTTTGCCCAGGAGTGCCAGGGCAATCTAGTCTTCTTGCCCCGGCTGGCGGCTGTGGGGGCGCTGGCTGGCTCCAGCCCTCCCCCCGCATCCTTCCTTCCTTCTGCCTTTTTAGGGGCGAGGCACCGGTTGGGGCTCGAGCGCCGCCCCCTGCCCCTCCGATCCCAGCTCCCCTGGCGCCCCCAATGGCCAGGGGCCCTGCAGTCCCTGCCCCGGGCGGGCCGCGATGGGACGGGGCGCGCGGAGAGCGCTCGGCCCCCTCGGAGCCCCGCGGCTCAGCCCCGGCCCGGCGGGGCGCTCCGCTCCCCCGAGCATCCTCGGGCCGGGCCTTCCTTCGCTGGACCGCCGCGTCCCGGGCCGGCGCCGCGTCCCGACAACCACCCTGCGCCCCACCCTGCCCGCGAGCCCCGCCTCGCCCCGGGGCGCCTGCAGCCCGGCTCCGCGGGGGTCGCCCGGGCCGCGACGCCGGACCAGCCGCCCCGCGCGCCTCCAGCTCGGGAAAGTTCAACGCTGAGCCGCGCCTCCCTGCCCCGAGCGCGCCGAGCGCCGCGCCCCGAGCCCGGCGGTACCTCGCTCCTTCTTCCCGGGCAGCTTCTCTTTGCCCCGCAGCCTGGAGAACGTTCTCCGGAGCAGGAGCTCGGCCATGGCCCGGCCGGGGCGCACGGGACTGGGGTGGGGGGCTCCTCACGCGGCCAGGCTGCCCCCGGTGCCCAGGGGTCGCTCGCCGCCCTCCGCCCGCTGCGGCCCCGCCATCCCGCGGCTCGGCCTCGGGCAGGAAGCGAATTCCAGGAATGCTTTCCCCAAACTCGGCCGGGCTCGGCCCCCCGCCGCAGCCGGAGCAGGAGCTGCTGGGAGCTGTAGTTTCCTGGCCCCGGAGCTCGCGCGAACTCGCCCCTTGGCTTCGTCCCCCGGGGTCCGGGCTGAGGAGAGCCCGCAAGAGGGACGCGTCCGTCCCCGGCCGAGCAACGGGCCATGCCCGAGGCAAAACACAC